CTCGTACTATACTAACCTGCTCACTATCACGGAACGAGTGGTCTTTTGTCTGGCCCGACGGTGTGCTTTGTCAGTCTAAAAATATCCAGACACCCCACGAGTGTCAACGACTCAGGTACGAGGCGAGGGCACGTCATTGGTCGTCGCAGCCAGTCGCTTCGGGGTTTCCAGCGACCTGGATCGGCTGAGCTCGCTCTATATATCACAGCATCCTCCATCGCCTTCGGGGCGCAGTATCCGCACACGACAGTACGTACGCTAGCGTCATATGCGTCACTGCCTCTCTCGGATTCTTGGGAAGTGCTCTCACTGATGTGACATTGATGTGATGTGGATCGCCAAAATCCCGTTTGTGTGACCCGGACCCCTTCCCATAAACCAGTTTGTGTCATTCATCTTTTCAAACAATTCAATCCAGTCCGTGTAATACCCGATTCCAAAAGGCACCTAGCATTCTTCCTTCCAAGGGAGTTTGTTGTAAATTCAAATCCGAGTCGTTTGCTCAATTTATCGCCTTGTCGATATCCACTTTGCCCGAACTTCGATCTTGAACTGCGGCGTAATTACGTCGCGTAACTATCGCCTATTGGGACATTTGAGCTGAACCCCTGCTTTCGCTGTTCTTTTGCTCTCTCCCCAGTGACCTGTGTTCCCTTGACGCTTCTGGCTGGGGTTCTTGGCATCTTTTGCTGGCGCGGGAACTTGAACACCGGGCAACCTCCCTCGATCTGGTCGCACCCCCCTTTAGACCGACCTACCTGAGCCTCGTCACCTTGACACCTCCGCCGCTCACACGACCACATCTATTCACATGGCTTTTCTATAATCCCAACTTTCTTCATCTTGGGATACTCTTTTCTTGGAAGCGCTGCGGCGACGCAAAGGAAATTAAGCCAGTGGTTTTTTGATCTTTCTTTCTTGGATATGTCTTGGACCGTCAATCTTTAACACGAGCACACGACGCCGAAGCCGACGCACGACGCAACGATGAATGGGGCCACGACCAGGAGAGGAAGCAGCGATGGCTACAATCCCGGGATGCTGGCTCCCGCCCAGCCGATTGGGCCGAACGGAAAGACATTGGTGGAGGGCTATAGGCAGGACATCATCAATGGATTTGACAAGGAGAGGCCGCGCTACAATCCCGTAAGCAGAATACTTGTGCCGTGTTCCCTCCCTGAAGTGTTCTCTGTTTTCTAACGCTTCCATTCTTCTACAGCTGAATGCAGAACGTCCGCAAAGCTCCGCGCTCGTCGATCTGGCCGACCCGATACAAGTACACCTGTTGACCGAGACCGCACTGTCGGACAGCAAGACGTACGAAATCCTGTCGCAGGAGGAGGTGGACGACCTGAAAAAGCAGATCCAGTCGCTGAGTATGCGCATCGAGCAAGCGAAGGCGAATCTAGCCATACAATCCAAATACCGCGATGCGGCGATATCGATGGCTAAACTCTACTCCTCGGGGAGGCCGGAGAGCAAGAGGCGGAGTCTTTTGGGTAACAACCGGCTCAGCGACCAGCAGAAGGAGGCCGAGATGGAAAGGCAGACCAGCGAGCGACGTTGCGAGGAACTTGCCGCCGAACTGTTTTCGCTCGAGAAACGCTTGATGGGGCCGCAGAAGCGGTTGCTGCAGCACACCGCCGGGATTCTGCAGATGACGCACCGAGCCTCCTCGAAGAATGCCGGCCAGCCGTCTGCGGGCCAGCAGATGCCGAACGGAATCCCGGGAAGCCCCGAGAGCCTGTATACGTCCTCGAACGCCCGGAACAGCATGGAACCGCCCGGGGACGACATGTTCGACGATAGGAGCCTATATCTTGCCCTCGATCAGATGGATGGGCAGCCTGCCGGTCGACCGCGGAAAAACACCATTGAGATTCCCATGAAGTCGCCGGTACGAGAACAGGCTCAGTTGCGTGGAGAAGTGGATCGTGTCAAAGAGGAGAACTCCCGGCTCAAGGAAGCAGAAGAGCGACTCAACACGCAGAACATGGAGCAGCAGAGAATAATATCGGACACGGAAAAGAAGCTGGAGAGGTTGAACCGCAGGTTACGGGACGTCATTATCACATTCAACCCGGGTGAAAACGCCGGCTTCCCCCAGCCAGGCCTAGCAACTGGGCCCGGCGACTCACTCGGCCGTCAGCTGGAATACCTAGAAATGGGCCTTTTGGCGGCTGCTGAAGAGCAAAAGTACAACGCTTCAGAAAGCTTGAAGGAGACGGAGGCTGTAGCCAGAGCCGCGGCGGCCACAGAGTCCCTTACACAAGCCGAAGGACAGGTTCAGGCCCTGAAGCGCCAGGTCCAGGATGTGCTCCAGCAATTGAATCTCGACGAGCCACGGCCGGCAGAATCCGAGCCTCTCGGAGACCAACTGGACTACCTCGGAGATGCCATCCAAATAATACAAGGCGAGCTGTCGCGGGCAGCAGACCTCTCCTCTTCAGCATCGACCCGCAAACAAAACAACGAGCAAGTGGAAGCGGTCCTCACAGGCCTGTGGGATATCATCCAGACGGGCTACGCCGAAATCCAGCAGCAAAAGGCGGCACGCAAAAAGTCACGCTCGGAGCGAGGTCTACCCCCCGATGAGGATGATATGTCTAGCGACGAAATGGCCGTGGATGTAAACGAGATGTACTCGCTGCAAGCGTTCTCGGCCAGGGTCCAGTGGCTGTACGCGCAGGCGACGAGCCTCAAGGAGCAGAAGTCGGTTCTGAAGCGACAGATCAAGCAGCAGCGGGAGCTGAATAGTAAGAGCGACGCCGAGAAGGATCAGGAGATGAAGAGCAAGACGGAGGAGCTGGAGAAGACGCGGGCGCTGCTTGACGGTAGCGAGAGGACCGCGAGGGAAGCGCAGGAGAAACTGGCGGATGCACTGGATAATTTGGATATGCTACAGAAGACTAGTGCTGCGAACGAATCGGCCTCTGTCAGAGCCGTTGAGGATCAGCTCAAGGAACGCAACGCCAAGATTGCCACGCTCGAGACTCAGTTGACGGATCTGTCGGAAAAGTTGGCTGCGTCAGAGGCGAACGTCGAGACCAGGTACAAGGATGCGCAGGCTCAACTCTCGGCCGCCGAGGCGAATTCGGCCAGTATGCAGGCGCAGCTCAGCAAAACCGACGAGGCCAGGGCCGCGGCAGAAGCGTCAGTCGACGAGCTACAAAAGAACATTAAGAATAAGGAGGAGGAAATTGAACAGATGAACATGATGGTTATTGAGCTTAAGACGGAGGTGACCATCGCCAAGGCCGAGTTGGACGGAGCCTATGGGTCACGCGCGCAGCGGGCGGCCGAGGCGGCGGCGCTGTCTAAGTCGTCCGAGTCGAGCGAGCTCAACCAGCAGGTCACGCAGCTCAAGGCCGAGCTGGAAAGCACACTCAAGGACTTTGAGGAGATGACGAAGGAGTCGATCGCCTCGGAGAAGGAGAAACTCGATCTCGAGACGAAGCTGGACGACGCGCTTAGCGCGCAGCAGAGACTGGAGAGCGAGGCGAAGATGTTAAGGGACCGACTGGATAGGGAGGTCGGGGAGCTGCGGGAGCAGTTGGATGCCGAGAAGCTCAAGGTTCCGCCTAGCCCGAGGGGCGGCGGGGTCGGGGCGTCGCGGGCTGGCGCGAGTATGTTGAGCGAGCAGTTTAGGACGACGATGAAGGAGGAGAGGAAGAAGTTCCAGGAGGAGTTGAGGGTATGTTTAATTCTTTTTCGTCTCACCGCCAAAATCTGGGTTGTTACTAACATGGAAAATAGGAGGAACAAGCCAAACGCCGCAAGCTCGAGGACGAATTGCGAGCAATGAAACGGAATCAGCCTGGGGGAGGAATTGGTCGCAGCCCCCTTGGGCCGTTAAGTCCCAGCACGCCAAGGTGACGGTCAGCTATTACGCAGTCATAGGACACAACATGCGCGCACACACACACACACGATAAGGCATTTGTATTTTTGCGTTATACTATATCAGCATTATCTATCCACGTCAGACACACGAGCTACGACGATAGAGGGCCGCCCGGTCAGGTGCGGCTGCCCGAGGTCGGGGATAAAACACTTAATGTTTATTAACCACACCAACAAGGCCTTTGGATTAGGCTCAGGATTTGTTGACTGGGTTGATTTTTGGGGGGATTGAATGACTGGATGAATCTTTTGGAGCGAGGTCTGGCAAATATTTTATCTTTGGATTGAAGAGACCTGACAGGCGGAGGACAATAGGAAAGGATTAGGGTTGTTTTATGTATGTTAACGTATCGAGTATTGCGATGCTCGGAGGAGCGGGATGTCTGGTTTGGTGTTCATTAGCTGAGAGTCCATGGAGATGGAGATGGAGATGGAGATGGTAGTGTAACATGATAATACCACCCACCCGTACGAATTTTGGCATGACGAGGAAGGCAACATGTTCATCTGCTGGCGTTGTTTCTTTCTCTTTCTGGTTACGTACGTCGATGTGTAGGTAGGCAGGCTTTCTCTTAGTTGCTCGTCCATCCAACGGAGCGTTGGTTGGGCTTCCTTTTCTTGAGACCATATATAGCTAGTTTGTATAAGAGACGTATTGGTCGTTCGTATGAACGAGTGTTCATTCAGTGTTACTGACTGGAGATGGACAATATACAACAAAAAACCCCCTTTGCATTTAACAACATGACCGCTGGCTGTTGCGAGCCGTATTGAATATTCGATGCCACCACCCCGAGGAAAGAAAGCCTTGCGTATCTAGATCATCTTCAAGCGTTCTCTTCGTTCATTCACTAGGTCCGTACCTTGCCTACCTAGGTGAGTACGTACATATATAGTATCTTCAGACCTATGTCTAATTGAATGGACTGGTTTTCTCATTACGGTAGAGGAAAAGGTTTCCATTTTCTCTACTGTGCACGCAAAAGTGGAAGTAGATGCGATGAGAAAGAAGACGGTCGGTCAGAGTTTGCTTTCTATAAAAAAGAAAAGAAATAATATCAACCGCTTCCCTGTACGGAGGGAGATAAATGTATGGATGCCCACAGCCAGAATCGAACTGACGACCTCATCATTGACCTATATACAACCGTTTCAAACCTTCGAGAAGTACTAGTGATGCGCTCTACCACTGAGCCATGCGGGCGTTTGCTGGTGATTCTGTGGGTTTGGTTAAAAAGCTGATGGATCCCAAAAGTCCCACAAGCCACTGACTGACTCAACGATAGAGACGGACCCGGCCCCGGTGCGGCGCGGTGGAGTGAGTTACCGGTCGGTACATTTGAGCTGTTTGTGGCGTGGAGTGGCGTGACCGAGTGATCGATAATGTGATAAAAAGGCGTCTGTCTATTTAAAAAGGGGGATGGAATGCAGGTGATGTACATATGTAAAAGTCAACAAAGCACCCCTATGCCATGGATCTAGACCTAGACGTCAAGGGGGTAATCTATAATATTCCTGATTCAGTGAACGACACATTAACTTCTGTTATAGATAACATCCATTTTAATATACGAATATTCCTGTTTGCTTTGACTCAGTCAGCTTTATCGGCCGGTCTAGATAGCGGTATCTAGCATATTTCCCTACCAAAGTACTCCATGTATCATTAAGAAACTGTCGACACATCAGGGGCAGCTAACCTAGACATTTTACCATTCAAAGATTGGTTACGAAAGAACTTTAAACCAAAGTTTCACAATCACATTCACTCATCCCAGAAACGATAAATGGAGAAAAAGTTGTTGTGGGCTCTGAGCCAAATAAAAGGCAAAAATCTATATTTCTTTCGTTCTCCACTCTCAAACTAACAATGAACAAAACGAAAACAAGACACGCTATAAAAATGATATATGATGACCAAATCCACAATAAAGGATGACGAGCATGCCATGCCAGACATCCTTCTTTGCGTTGCCTCTCTCTACCCTTTCTGAAACCAATCCGAGTCAGCTATACACAGAGAACACCAGATCAGAAGAAAACGAAACAAAGGAAAAAGTCAAGACTGTAGTATATCTCTACGACTGTCGTTCTGTCTGTCTGGTTCCAAAACAAGCAAAACTGAAAAAAGACAACCAATGCAAAAGTCTCCATAAAACGCCAATGCTTGTGTTCTTTTGCTAAACAACCCCCAAAACTAACAGAGATAAACTCCATGAATGATGTGACTCTCTACCCGAACTCTCCAACCCTTTCCTGCCCCCCACCAGATAGGTTTCTCCTTTTGGCAGGGAGTCGAGAAAGACGAAGGAAAAAATGCAAGATTAAACACAGTAGATGATAGATGTGGGTATTCTGTAAAAGAGAAAAATAGGGAAAATAGAAAACAGGGAGGCCAATACTCTGGCAGTGCGCGTGTGCTTCCCCTTCCCCATGTATTTTATTTCTGACGACAGCAGAATCCAAAGCAGATGTATCAGAACGGGTGTCGTGTACACTAAACTCCATTCCTCTGCACAGTGTAATGAGATGATTAAAAGGTGTACTAGTCGGGAACAAGGTTCTGTAAGATTTTCTTTAAAGAATAGTAATTGGGTGTTGTTTGCGTCGTCTCTGACCATCTGGCGAGTCGTCGGCCGGGTTCCGGTGAAACAGACCGCCAGTGCTACATCGCGTTGAGATCGAGTCATGCTCAGGTGCTGGTGGACAAGTCGATTTCGATGTCGGAGCCATAGGCCAGCGTTGACCAGACTCGCCAGTGGAGTATGCCAAGATGTGCCAGGCGTGTCGCCATGTCGTCAATGCCAGCCTCATCACGCGGGTTGCGCGGCGAGCCAGCGCCGTTGAAACCCCGGTCAATCCCTTCGGACCAGCTGCGGCCAGTCAAGAGGCTTGACCTGGTAATGCGACTTCCAGTTGCGGCTGAGAAGAGTCCAACGCCCGAGAGGTTCTTGAATTCCTTGACCCGCTCCGCAAGTTCTGCAAGCAAGCGCTGCTGGAACTGCAACTCAACTTCGTGAAATATCTCCCCATGGACATCCCCCAACCACGCCGCAAGCTGGTTCTCGAATCCTGGAAGTGACTGCGGCGCATTCACGTAACGCAGAATTTGGAGAGCTACAGACGGAGCAAGACCTTGCCACCTCTGATCAGCTCGATTCGCAGGCGGCGCCGTTTGGAGCAGCGCAAGGAGAGAGCTGTAGAGATCGACTGCTTTAGAACGTGATTCGGCTAAGTCGAAAACTGGCTGAGCGAAAAGACCGCCCGAATTTCGCGGAGACGAAGTGGTTGAGCCGCGGTCACTAAAGGCCAAGCTGGAGGGGCGCGATGAGGGAGGCGTGTTGAAGTTGAACTCCACCGAAGACCGGCCGCTTGAGATTAGTTCCTCGCTCACGTATGCCGGCACTTTTGAACAGAACGATTGGGTCAGTTGTGAGAGTCGCTCCAGATCCTCAAATTTCCGCATGCAAATCTCGAGGCAGATGCTGTCGTACATGTCGGACCGTAGCTTGATGATGCGTTCTTCGTCGAAAATGAAGGTGTTGGGAATGTTCTCGGTGGATGTAGACGGCAAGATGAGCCTGGACAGTGCCTCGAAAAACACGCCTGTTTCGCTAAATGCATGGCTATGCGGCATCGGGGAGTCTTGATATGACCTCGCTGCGTAGTCCCGTGCCTCGCCGTACCATAGCTTAGCCGCATTGATTGAAAGCTTCCCACCCTGCATTTTCCTCATGAAAAATCGCTGCTCAAACTGCACTGTATCTTCAATCAGAACTGGCCGCAGGCATCGAATCTGGTGGTTTGCAACATCAAGCTTCATTGCCTCCAGCACGCTTAGCAGGCTCCGCATTCCCTTGACCAACTCGCCCATGTCGTTTTCGCGGTTTCCTCTGCTCAGCTCGTGGTACATCTCATCGACCCACTCGTCACGCATCGGAGCGCAGTGAAGCTTAAGGACGCCAGAAAGCCACGCGGCCAGGCTCTCTAGATCAGCGACCCCACGATGGAACTGCTGCATCAGAAGCTCCACATTCAATCCCTCGTCCAGAAACTCGCGATCCCGCTGGGGAACCAGTGTTTCAATTATCTCCTTGACCGACTTCAACAGCAACGGCAGGCACCAGTCATTTCCGGTTCCAAACCTCCTGTAGAACCCATCCCGGTCTATCACGAATTGGACCAGCTGCTCCAGCAGTGAGGTCCAGAACTGATTTGCCTTGTCCTGCTTTTTCTTTCCCTTTTCGCCGTCCAAATTGGGTCGGAAATGAAGTTCCGGGTCGAAGTTGATATCGTGGCGAAGCTTCGGATTGTGGATTATTTTGCTGACATCAAGCTCGCCCAATGTAGTTTTTGTCACCGGCGGTTCCAGCGGACGCTTCGATTGTGAGCTCGACGCTGTAGAGGATCGTGAAGGTGGTTGGGGTCGTCGGTCGCCGTTTCCAACACTGAGGTACTCGTTGGTCGGTCTCAGGTTCGAGTAGTTCGAGGACGTCGACGGATTCCTAGATAACGCCGGCGCAGCCCCAACTTCTGAGTTCAGAACAATTGTCGCTTCAGACAGTCGGGCCAGCCCTTGCCGTGCTTGCGTAGACTCTTGCTTCTCTGAATAAGTCTGAGGCGGTGGTCGTGTCTCCGGGGTCGTCTTGGTCGGCCGCGGCTCTTCTCCCGAGTCCTGCCGTCTGTGAGTTTGCATATGGCTCTCAATGCCGCCGCCGGCACCTTGGTCGCCCATTTTTTTCCGGAAGCACAATTGTTGCGACTCTGTGGTGAACTGAGTGAGAAAACGGGCCAAAACGGTAGAGGCTCAAAGTGTGATTACCCTAGGTCGAAAGAGCTAGGGAACAGATTTAAGAAATCGACGAAGGGCGGGCAGTTAAACGTCTTGCGAGTGTGGCTGAGATTCCTGCGAGAGTCAGCTTAGATTTCGTCTCGGGGGACGGGATGCAGGGAAACGGCAAACAAGGTGACGGGCAACACTAAGTTGCGGCCCAGGTCTCGTGAGTGCGGAAAGTTGCATATAGTACGGTATCTCTGAACGCCCCCTTGTGATCGGAAGTCGACTTTTGGCCGGTGGCGGAAGGGGAACCTTGTGTAAAGGTCATGTAGGAGAACTAAAAGGGAAACCAACCGGCAGATATTCCTGTATACCAGCACTCGGGAACGACTGTGCGCGGTGTTGTCGAGGCTGCTTGCAGACAGTAGAGTGTTGGTGAACCGAGAAACGCGCAGGCTTGGTCAAACAAGGACCGAGGTTTGTTGTAAGGAGTGTGACAGGACGAAGAAGACCTGAGAGACAGAGATTCCAGAGTGACAGGACGGGAAGAAGCCGAAGTCTTCCCACGGAAAAAAGCCACGAGTGGTAGAGTGGTATATCAGTAGCAGAGCGTGATCAAGCGACCAGGTTCGAATCGGTAGTGACTCGAGTGCCGGCTAGTGGGGAGACACTGCGGTCGCGGAGGAGGTGAGGTGTGCTCGAGATGAGTGGAGGCAGTTGGTGACGGACAGGAGACGGTTGGACGTAAAAGGACACGCTCCGTATCCCACACCTGCTGACGCTGACCCGAGTGGGAGACTACCTGGTAGGCAAGAACAGAAAAAGAAGCCGCCGAGAGAGGGTGGATGACGTTTGGGGGGAACGAACAAACAGGTGGTAGAAAGAATAATAAGAACTAGAAAAGGGCGGAAAGAGTGAGAGGAAACAAACGTGCGAAAGACGGGGCCCTGGGACCCGACGGGGATGTGGTCTATAGTTGGTGTCAGGTACTAACAGGTAAGAGCAATAATATTACAAGGGATGGGATGCAGCCAGAATGCAGCCAGAATGCAGCCAGCAGTGAGTGTGAGCAAAGGGAACGGAAGGGAAGGGAACGATGGACGGAAGGAGAGAGCGAGAGAGCGACACGATGCCGGAGGCGGGAAGGAGTGGAAAGGGACGTGTGGACTGTGCAGTGGTCGGTGGATTGTGGATTCATTCAATTAGCAGAGTAGTCAGGTACGGATACAGCCAAGGGTCCATCCGGGTGGCTCTTCCACTGAAGGCGTGCAGGTGGCTAAAAGGTCAGTACATGCAACTATTGCTATTCCAGTATGTACTTGGAGGTCACCCATGCCTGGCCTGGTCCAAAACAGCGCCAGCGGCAGCATAGAAGCAGCCAGCATGCCGCATAGGCTCTGCACTGTCTTTTTTGCCCTTTGTTGGCG